CTGGCCCTCCACCACTGTCAACAACAGCGGGGGGGGAGGGGGGTTGACACCATCCTGGCCCTCTACCACTGTCAACAACAGCGGGGGGGGGGGAGGGGGGTTGACACCATCCTGGCCCTCTACCACTGTCAATAACAGCGGGGGGTGGGGGAGGGGGGTTGACACCGTCCTGGCCCTCTACCACTGTCAATAACAGCGGGGGGGGGGGGGAGGGGGGTTGACAGCATCCTGGCCCTCTACCACTGTCAATAACAGGGGGGGGGGGGGGGGGGGGTTGACAGCATCCTGGCCCTCTACCACCGTCAATAACAGCGGGGGGGGGGGGTTGACAGCATCCTGGCCCTCTACCACTGTCAACAACAGCGGGGGGGGGGAGGGGGGTTGACAGCATCCTGGCCCTCTACCACTGTCAACAACAGCGGGGGGGGGGGAGGGGGGTTGACAGCATCCTGGCCCTCTACCACTGTCAACAACAGCGGGGGGGAGGGGGGTTGACAGCATCCTGGCCCTCTACCACTGTCAATAACAGCGGGGGGGGGGGGGAGGGGGGTTGACACCATCCTGGCCCTCTACCACTGTCAACAACAGCGGGGGGGGGGAGGGGGGGTTGACAGCATCCTGGCCCTCTACCACTGTCAACAACAGCGGGGGGGAGGGGGGTTGACACAATCCTGGCCCTCCACCACTGTCAACAACGGGGGGGGGGGGGGGGGGAGGGGGGTTGACAGCATCCTGGCCCTCTACCACTGTCAATAACAGCGGGGGGGGGAGGGGGTTGACAGCATCCTGGCCCTCTACCACTGTCAACAACAGCGGGGGGGGGGGAGGGGGAGGGGGGTTGACACCATCCTGGCCCTCTACCACTGTCAATAACAGCGGGGGGGGGGAGGGGGTTGACACCATCCTGGCCCTCTACCACTGTCAATAACAGCGGGGGGGGGGGGGTTGACACCATCCTGACCCTCTACCACTGTCAACAACAGCGGGGGGGGGGGGGGTTGACACCATCCTGGCCCTCTACCACTGTCAACAACAGCGGGGGGGGAGGGGAGGGGGGTTGACAGCATCCTGGCCCTCTACCACTGTCAACAACAGCGGGGGGGGGGAGGGGAGGGGGGGTTGACACCATCCTGGCCCTCTACCACTGTCAATAACAGCGGGGGGGGGAGGGGGTTGACACCATCCTGGCCCTCTACCACTGTCAATAACAGCGGGGGGGGGGGTTGACAGCATCCTGGCCCTCTACCACTGTCAACAACAGCGGGGGGGGGGGAGGGGAGGGGGGTTGACACCATCCTGGCCCTCTACCACTGTCAACAACAGGGGGGGGGAGGGGGGTTGACAGCATCCTGGCCCTCTACCACTGTCAACAACAGCGCGGGGGGGGGGGGGAGGGGGGTTGACAGCATCCTGGCCCTCTACCACTGTCAACAACAGCGGGGGGGGGAGGGGGGTTGACAGCATCCTGGCCCTCTACCACTGTCAACAGCGGGGGGGAGGGGGTTGACACCATCCTGGCCCTCTACCACTGTCAACAACAGCGGGGGGGGGGGAGGGGGGTTGACACCATCCTGGCCCTCTACCACTGTCAATAACAGCGGGGGGGGGGGGAGGGGGGTTGACACCATCCTGGCCCTCTACCACTGTCAATAACAGCGGGGGGGGGGGAGGGGGGGTTGACACCATCCTGGCCCTCTACCACTGTCAACAACAGCGGGGGGGGGGGGGGGGGGTTGACACCATCCTGGCCCTCTACCATTGTCAACAACAGCGGGGGGGGGAGGGGGGTTGACACCATCCTGGCCCTCTACCACTGTCAATAACAGCGGGGGGGGAGGGGGGTTGACACCATCCTGGCCCTCTACCACTGTCAACAACAGCGGGGGGGAGGGGGGGTTAACACCATCCTGGCCCTCTACCACTGTCAATAACAGCGGGGGGAGGAGGGTTGACAGCATCCTGGCCCTCTACCACTGTCAATAACAGCGGGGGGGGGAGGGGGGTTGACACCATCCTGGCCCTCTACCACTGTCAATAACAGCGGGGGGGGGAGGGGGGGTTGACACCATCCTGGCCCTCTACCACTGTCAACAACAGCGGGGGGGGGGGGGAGGGGGGTTGACAGCATCCTGGCCCTCTACCACTGTCAATAACAGCGGGGGGGGGGGGGTGTTGACAGCATCCTGGCCCTCTACCACTGTCAATAACAGCGGGGGGGGGTTGACAGCATCCTGGCCCTCTACCACTGTCAATAACAGCGGGGGGGGGTTGACAGCATCCTGGCCCTCTACCACTCAATAACAGCGGGGGGGAGGGGGGGTTGACACCATCCTGGCCCTCTACCATTGTCAATAACAGGGGGGGGGGGGGGGGGGTTGACAGCATCCTGGCCCTCTACCACTGTCAATGACAGCGGGGGGGGGGGGGTTGACAGCATCCTGGCCCTCTACCACTGTCAACAACAGCGGGGGGGGGGGGGGGAGGGGAGGGGGGTTGACACCATCCTGGCCCTCTACCACTGTCAACAACAGCGGGGGGGGGAGGGGGGTTGACAGCATCCTGGCCCTCTACCACTGTCAACAACAGCGGGGGGGGAGGGGGGATGGCACCATCCTGGCCCTCTACCACTGTCAACAGCGGGGGGGGGGAGGGGGGGTTGACACCATCCTGGCCCTCTACCACTGTCAACAACAGCGGGGGGGGAGGGGGGTTGACACCATCCTGGCCCTCTACCACTGTCAACAACAGCGGAGGGGGGTTGACAGCATCCTGGCCCTCTACCACTGTCAACAACAGCGGGGGGGGGGGGGTTGACACCATCCTGGCCCTCCACCACTGTCAACAACAGCGGGGGGGGGGAGGGGGGTTGACACCATCCTGGCCCTGTACCACTGTCAATAACATCGGGGGAGGGGAGGGGGGTTGACACCATCCTGGCCCTCTACCACTGTCAACAACAGCGGGGGGGGGAGGGGGGTTGACACCATCCTGGCCCTCTACCACTGTCAACAACAGCGGGGGGGAGGGGGGTTGACACCATCCTGGCCCTCTACCACTGTCAACAACAGCGGGGGGGGAGGGGGGATGGCACCATCCTGGCCCTCTACCACTGTCAACAACAGCGGGGGGGGGAGGGGGTTGACAGCATCCTGGCCCTCTACCACTGTCAACAACAGCGGGGGGGGAGGGGGGATGGCACCATCCTGGCCCTCTACCACTGTCAACAGCGGGGGGGGGGGGGGGGGGAGGCGGGGTTGACACCATCCTGGCCCTCTACCACTGTCAATAACAGCGGGGGGTGAGGGGGGTTGACACCATCCTGGCCCTCTACCACTGTCAATAACAGCGGGGGGGGGGAGGGGGGTTGACACCATCCTGGCCCTCTAACACTGTCAACAACAGCGGGGGGGAGGAGGGGGGTTGACAGCATCCTGGCCCTCTACCACTGTCAATAACATCGGGGGGGTGGGGAGGGGGGTTGACACCGTCCTGGCCCTCTACCACTGTCAATAACAGCGGGGGGGGAGGGGGGTTGACAGCATCCTGGCCCTCTACCACTGTCAATAACAGCGGGGGGGGGGGGAGGGGGGTTGACACCATCCTGGCCCTCTACCACTGTCAACAACAGCGGGGGGGGGAGGGGGGTTGACACCATCCTGGCCCTCTACCACTGTCAATAACAGCGGGGGGGTGGGGGAGGGGGTTGACACCGTCCTGGCCCTCTACCACTGTCAATAACAGGGGGGGGGAGGGGGGTTGACAGCATCCTGGCCCTCTACCACTGTCAATAACAGCGGGGGGGGGGAGGGGGGTTGACAGCATCCTGGCCCTCTACCACCGTCAATAACAGCGGGGGGGGGGGGGTTGACAGCATCCTGGCCCTCTACCACTGTCAACAACAGCGGGGGGGGGGAGGGGGGTTGACAGCATCCTGGCCCTCTTACCACTGTCAACAACAGCGGGGGGGGAGGGGGGTTGACAGCATCCTGGCCCTCTACCACTGTCAATAACAGCGGGGGGGGGGAGGGGGGTTGACAGCATCCTGGCCCTCTACCACTGTCAACAACAGCGGGGGGGGGAAGGGGAGGGGGGTTGACACCATCCTGGCCCTCTACCACTGTCAATAACAGCGGGGGGGGGAGGGGAGGGGGGTTGACACCATCCTGGCCCTCTACCACTGTCAACAACAGCGGGGGGGGGGGAGGGGGGTTGACAGCATCCTGGCCCTCTACCACTGTCAATAACAGCGGGGGGGGGGGGTAGGGGGGGTTGACAGCATCCTGGCCCTCTACCACTGTCAATAACAGCGGGGGGGGAGGGGGAGGGGGGGTTGACACCATCCTGGCCCTCTACCACTGTCAAAAACAGGGGGGGGGGAGGGGGTTGACACCATCCTGGCCCTCTACCACTGTCAACAACAGCGGGGGGGGGGGTTGACACCATCCTGGCCCTCTACCAGTGTCAACAACAGCGGGGGGGGAGGGGAGGGGGGTTGACAGCATCCTGGCCCTCTACCACTGTCAACAACAGCGGGGGGGGGGGGAGGGGAGGGGGGTTGACACCATCCTGGCCCTCTACCACTGTCAACAACAGCGGGGGGGGGGGAGGGGGGTTGACACCATCCTGGCCCTCCACCACTGTCAATAACAGCGGGGGGGGGGGGGGGTTGACACCATCCTGGCCCTCTACCACTGTCAATAACAGCGGGGGGGGGAGGGGGGTTGACAGCATCCTGGCCCTCTACCACTGTCAACAACAGCGGGGGGGGGAGGGGGGTTGACAGCATCCTGGCCCTCTACCACTGTCAATAACAGCGGGGGGGGGGGGGGGGGGGGTTGACAGCATCCTGGCCCTCTACCACTGTCAACAACAGCGGGGGGGGGGGAAGGGGAGGGGGGTTGACACCATCCTGGCCCTCCACCACACAGGCCACCACATCCTGCAGGTATGAGCTGTACAAATATATGATGACAAAGAAAGCAAGATCATCAGCAACTCACCTGTAAGAGCTGCCATCCTTCCGTTCCTCTTCCCTTGACATCTTGACACTAGATCACAACTTGTCATTCAGGAAGTGGAAGTTGTCCACTCTTTTCAACACTGAGCTCCACTTAAAACTTCATCTGAGTTTATGTCATTTTCTCTCGCGACACTTTAGAGTTCTTAAGTTCTTATATCAACACCTGTAAAGTGAACTTGCTCAAGTAAGAAGAAACTTGGACGACCAACCACACGCAGTTAGCTACAGTCCCTCACACCGTCGATATTATTATTAGTAGTAGTAGTAGTTTTAATACAGTAGAGAGTCGGTATACAGCACCACAGAGTTGGGCCCTGGCGCCTCTCTCCCCCCTCTAGTTCTAGGCTAGTTCCCCCCCCCCCCCCGGGACCCACCATCCCCCCCCCGGGACCCACATCACCCCCGGGACCCACCACCACCCCCCGGGTTCCCACCCCCATCCTCCTGAATTGATAGTACTCATAGTAACTATTTGATGGAAAGTAACAGTATGTAGTGACGGACCTCTTAAGAGCTGACGTTATGTAGAAATCAAACATTCCTAGGCCTGGTATAGCACCTATGTACTATATTAGCGTTAAGTTACACACAGACATCACAATAGAGTGATGCATCAAATGAACAAATCCACAAGGGCCGTGACGAGGGTTCGAACCTACGAACTTTGACCAATTTCAATACTGCAAAGTCTACTTTTTTGATGATCAATCATTACATAATGGTACTTTTCCACCAAATATTTACGGTAAGTTACACACCACGAGGAAGAGTTTGTAGAGCTGCGTCATGTAGCGGAGGTGACCTTCCTCTCAACTATTGTGTGCTGCCTGCAAGTGTAATGTTGTACTCCACTCCTGTGTACCCCCCCGCAACACCCCGATCCCCCTCCACAGAAACACCCTCCTTCCCCTCCCATGAAACAGCCCCTTCACACCTCCCCTCCCCAGAAACAACACTCCCTCCCACCCCCCTTCCCAAAAACAACACCCCCCCTCCCTCCCCCCTTTCCCAGAAGTAATTATCAAAGAAGGCACCAAGCTGGGAAGGCTGTGTAGCACCATCAAATATGCAGAATAATCAGAGGGCGCTAAATATCACCAAGGATGCCAATACGAAAACAGAAACGCATAAGGCGTACGATATCAAAAGTATCCGAGTCACCAAGAATTCTATCGAGGGACAAGTGACCGCGAGGGACGGTCGGGGAGCAAGACACGCGCTTGTCCTGGAAGTCAGGACATTCAACAAGGATATACACGACGGTAAGAGGGACAATGCAATTTGGACAATAAGAAACAGGGCGGCGCTCCTTTAAGTGACCGTGGGTTAAGCGAGTATGGCCAATATGCAACCTTGCTAGAGCCATTTCCCACCGCCGGTTACGGTGGCAGGAGGACGGCCACGGGTAAACACTACACTTAAGATTTCACAGCTTGTTACCAACTACACAAGACCAACAACCTGCCAATGGGCAAAGATGGAAGAATGAATAACCGGGTAAAAGTCGGAATAAGGAATACCTTTACGGGAGATGGGACAAGTGTGGATAGCTTCTCTAGCGGCAGCATCCGCACGCTCATTTAAAGAAACAGCAATAAGGCTGGGAACCCAGCAAAACTCTACGGACTTAAATTTACTAGATATAAGAAACGGCAAATGCTGAATCTCGACGACCGGTCTAACGACAAGCACCAGAGCTGAGGCACAACCCAGTATGGTGCAAAGCATCAAGACGGCGAAGAGTAGGAGAAGCAGACGAGTAAGCAGGACAACCATAATCGAGCTTAGACAGGACGAGAGTAGAGTGTAAAGCAAGGAGAGTGCGCCTATCTGCCCCCCAAGAAGTATGGGACAACACCTGAAGGAGGTTAAGGGCCTTAGAGCGTTCAACTCGGAGGTAAGAGATTTGGGGCGAACAAGACAAACGAGTGTCAAAGACTAACCCCAAAAGCATCGCGAAATCCCTGTACTCAAGGGGATGACCATAAAGTGACAAAGAGGGACGACGAACGACATGCTTCCGAGTAAAAGTCATAGCACAAGTCTTAGCACATGACGTAGAGAACTTGAAGCCATTATCTTTGGCCGAAGATGACACGGCATTAATCTCAAGTTGAGAGGTCGGAGATAGCAGCACGGAGGGTAAAGAGGCGTCAGTCAACCTCAGCAAACCGTGGGCAAAGGCAACCCTCACCGGTCCCAGGGAGGTGTACGTGAGCCCCTCACCACGACAAGGAGGCACCACGACAAGGAGGCACCACGGAGAGGCTCTCCCCAGAAACAACACCCCCTCCCCCGCTCACCATCCCCGATAATAAGCCTTCTAGAACACCCACTCCCATTAATTTTGTGAAAGGTTAATTGTCATTCCCCCCCCCCCAGACGCCATTAATCAGACAGGGGGGAGGGGGGGGGAGAAGAATGGAGGCCAGTAATTGGTGGGAGACCCAAGAGGTCCCTTGCCTTAACGGTTGTGTTAAGACGCTCCGTTTATCACCCGTTAATTTAAGAGACTCTGTAAACATCACGTTATCAATAACAGCTCAACGTGGAGTGGGCCCGTGGCAACGGTCGTCAATCATGCTTTATTGCAAAACCTAAAATTAAAAGTAATACAGGTTGGAAAGAATGGTCAATTATGAGCCAGTGTATGCTTGCAACTCTCACTAGACGCCACATATGTAGAGGCACGAGAGGGGGGAGGGGGAGGGGTGCGGGTGAGGTTAGTAGTGACCTGGAACACTAACAATCTACACACGACCAACTTCATCACTGTAATCATCTTCACTATTTACAGTGCCTATCTTTGAACCATGGCCCGTGCCTCGGCCCTGCTGGGGGACCCATCTTCTCTCTTCACTAAATGTCAACATTTTCCCTACGTTCCCGCCGCCCTGCCTGCAAGTGAGGGAGAAACTGCCACCATCCTCCTCAACCTGCTGGAGGATAAGGTCAGCCCTGACACCATCCTCCTCAACCTGCTGGAGGATAAGGTCAGCCCTGACACCATCCTCCTCAACCTGCTGGAGGATAAGGTCAGCCCTGACACCATCCTCCTCAACCTGCTGGAGGATAAGGTTAGCCCTGACACCATCCTCCTCAACCTGCTGGAGGATAAGGTCAGCCCTGACACCATCCTCCTCATCCTGCTGGAGGATAAGGTCAGCCCTGACACCATCCTCCTCATCCTGCTGGAGGATAAGGTCAGCCCTGACACCATCCTCCTCAACCTGCTGGAGGATAAGGTCAGCCCTGACACCATCCTCCTCAACCTGCTGGAGGATAAGGTCAACCCTGACACCATCCTCCTCAACCTGCTGGAGGATAAGGTCAACCCTGACACCATCCTCCTCAACCTGCTGGAGGATAAGGTCAGCCCTGACACCATCCTCCTCAACCTGCTGGAGGATAAGGTCAGCCCTGACACCATCCTCCTCAACCTGCTGGAGGATAAGGTCAGCCCTGACACCATCCTCCTCATCCTGCTGGAGGATAAGGTCAGCTCTGACACCATCCTCCTCAACCTGCTGGAGGATAAGGTCAACCCTGACACCATCCTCCTCAACCTGCTGGAGGATAAGGTCAGCCCTGACACCATCCTCCTCAACCTGCTGGAGGATAAGGTCAGCCCTGACACCATCCTCCTCAACCTGCTGGAGGATAAGGTCAGCCCTGACACCATCCTCCTCAACCTGCTGGAGGATAAGGTCAGCCCTGACACCATCCTCCTCAACCTGCTGGAGGATAAGGTCAGCCCTGACACCATCCTCCTCAACCTGCTGGAGGATAAGGTCAGCCCTGACACCATCCTCCTCATCCTGCTGGAGGATAAGGTCAGCCCTGACACCATCCTCCTCATCCTGCTGGAGGATAAGGTCAGCCCTGACACCATCCTCCTCATCCTGCTGGAGGATAAGGTCAGCCCTGACACCATCCTCCTCATCCTGCTGGAGGATAAGGTCAGCCCTGACACCATCCTCCTCATCCTGCTGGAGGATAAGGTCAGCCCTGACACCATCCTCCTCATCCTGCTGGAGGATAAGGTCAGCCCTGACACCATCCTCCTCATCCTGCTGGAGGATAAGGTCAGCCCTGACACCATCCTCCTCATCCTGCTGGAGGATAAGGTCAGCCCTGACACCATCCTCCTCATCCTGCTGGAGGATAAGGTCAGCCCTGACACCATCCTTCTCATCCTGCTGGAGGATAAGGTCAGCCCTGACACCATCCTCCTCAACTCTTTTACTAACGATGCGCTCGAGAGGACTGGATGCACCCCCCCCCCCCGCCCAACACCCACTACCCACACCCACTACCCCCGCCCACCACCACCCACTACCCCGCCCACCACCACCACCCACTACCCGCCGCCCCCCCCCACCACCACCACCGCCCACTACCCTCCCCCCCCCCCCACCGTGTTTCACGAATGGCTTCTCCACTTGATTGATATTTCCTGCCCGCCCCCCTCCCCCATCCACAGTAATTAACAAGCTTAGAAAATATTCAGCACAGTTTTAAAGGTTCCTGAATAGCCTCCATCTTTGGCGGTGGTTCCTCACCCCCCCTCCACCTCCATCACCTGCCACCCCTCACCCACCGCCTCCCCCCCCCCCTCTCTCTCTCTCTCTCTCTCTCTCTCTCTCTCTCTCTTGAGAGAAAGAAAGAGAAAGAAATAGAAAGAGAAAGAGAGAGAGAGAAAGAAAGAAAGAGGGGGAAGGGGAAGGGAGGGGGAAGGGGGAGGGAGGGAGAGAGGGAAATAAGTGAGGCGAGTCAGTTACCAACCCGTCCTCTTAAAAATAACGTCGCTTTTCACTAGTATGCGCGCTATGGCCAAATTTGGACGTAATTTAAAATGAAATCGACTCACAAAAATGACGTACTGTTCCGTTTTCTGTTTGAGTCGGCCGGCTTACTTGATAAGGTTAGAAGAGGAAACTTTCAATTTTGTTTTCATCACGTTTTGACACTTTATGAGAATTTCCTGCCCACCTAACCTATCAGAGGACCCTTAACTTACCAACCCGTTCTCGCAAATTTAATAAGTCAATATTGACTTATAAAATATGTGCATAGGTGACATACTTAACATAATAGATACCCTTAAAAAGATTCATAGAAAACACCGACCTTACCTAACCTTGTTAGTATTTTAAGATAAGC